CCAATGATGAACCAAATGATAACATCAACCAATGATGAACCAAATGATGACATCAGCCAATGATGAACTAAATCATGACATCAACCAATGATGAACCAAATGATGACATCAGCCAATGATGAACCAAATGATAACATCAACCAATGATGAACCAAATGATGACATCAGCCAATGATGAACTAAATCATGACATCAACCAATGATGAACCAAATGATGACATCAGCCAATGATGAACCAAATGATGACATCAACCAATGATGAACACAATGATGACATCAGCCAATGATGAACTAAATGATGACATCATCCAATGATGAACTAAATGATGACATCAGCCAATGATGAACTAAATGATGACATCAGCCAATGATGAACTAAATGATGACATCAGCCAATGATGAACTAAATGATGACATCAGCCAATGATGAACTAAATGATGACATCAGCCAATGATGAACTAAATGATGACATCAGCCAATGATGAACTAAATGATGACATCAGCCAATGATGAACTAAATGATGACATCAGCCAATGATGAACCAAATGATGACATCAGCCAATGATGAACTAAAACATGACATCATCCAATGATGAACCAAATGATGATATCAGCCAATGATGAACTAAAGCATGACATCAGCCAATGATGAACTAAATGATGACATCAGCCAATAACGACTAAATGGCATCAGCCAATAATGAACTAAATGATGACAGTTAAGATATTTCATGGTTGTCTTGCTTTGGCTTCCTGAATATTCCATGATTTCTTCTTAAATTTAGGTTATGGCAGATGTATTATTATAATTATAATATCAAATATAAAATGTCTATTCATGCTTCAAAATTACAAATGACAAAAGTTGTGTTTGAAGACAAACATGTATCATTGTAGAGATTGTTAGCAATACCTGTAATCACATTGATCRTCAGTAGATTTCAATATCAAAGTCTGTTAGAAAAGTTAACATGTACATGTGTACCATCCTTAATAAATGTAAAGTGTGTTGGGAAATAAGCTGTCACTACAAACTAAAGAACTATGAGAACTACTCAAAACACAAGACAATACACCTGTACTTTTCATACTTTAATYTATTTCAAAGCAAAACACTCTAAACTCAAGACAATGTTATTATTTACAAGCATAAGATTATTTCTTGTCAGTTTTTTTAGCATCACTAGAATCACTCTCCATATCTTCATCCTGTGTTTTATCTTGCTGTGTTAGGTTCACCATTACATTTTGAATGGCRTCACTACTGGGGTCCACGCCTGGGAGTGTACTCAGGACTCTCTGTAGGAARTCTGGGTCAGCCATTACTTCAGAGAAGTCTTGGTTTTTATCATCAGCCTGGGAAAATATCAATCACAATGATAGGAATGAGCTTAGATGAAAAGAATGAAAAGAAGTGGAGAGAATACACACTTCAGTCTTGAAATACTGAAATATTAGTTTATCATCATCATCATCATCAGTCGACCATTGACCATCATGGAGTACACAACATTACGCTAAACTTCCCTGTCTATCATTATTATCATTATATCATATTACTAACAATTATTGGGGAAACATGAAATATAATATATTGTTCTAATTTCTAATGTAGTAGAGATACAATAGCAAACATAATATAGTTGACTGAATCGTGATTACATACACATCATCATACATTACCATATATTACATTTTATTATCATACATTACCATATATTATCATACTATTATCATACATTACCATATATTATCATACATTACCATATATTATCATACTATTATCATACATTACCATATATTATCATACTATTATAATACATTACCATATATTATCATATATTACCATATATTATCACACATTACCATATATTACATACAATTATCATAAATTACCATATATTATCATACCTGGCTGTCAGTTTCCATGGCACTAGCACCAGACTGCTGAGACTCAGTCCTAGCATGACTGTCTGGCCTTGAGCTATCTCCATCATCTGCATCTTGCATGCTCTGCAAAGATAGCTGCATTGCATATGCAATCTGCTCCTCCTCAGACATAGATCCAAAGTCAACATTAGGCGTCGCTACTGGTACAGGTGTGTCTGTCACCTCTGGTGTGTCTGACATGGAAAGAGCCTGCTGTAGCATGGCTTCCTCTCTGTCAGCAACTTGTCCGGGAGTTGTTGGAGCTTCTTGGCTTGCAGTTGCTGTTCTTCTGGATTCTTCCTCTTGTCTTTGTCTTTGTTCTTCCATAGAAACACGTAGAGCCTAAAAAAGAAGTTCAATATTACATATGTAATGAGTAAGACATAATTGTATATATATCACAAAAACATAAAGGGTGGATCAAGGGGGTAATTTAGGGGTCAAACATATATTAAATACAAAATTGTGATATATACTTTGAGGGTGATGTTTTGCAATGGAATTCTGATATAGGCTGTATATATAATTAATCTCATTATAGATGTGTATAATCAAAACGGCAACAACTCGTGCATTAGCATACCCACTATAATTATTGCAGTTAAAAATGCCATTCCTCTTACCAGAGCAAGTTCAGGGTCCGCATTAGGATCAACACCAAACTCAAACCCAGCTCCAAGATTGCCTGCTGCCCCATCTTCTCCTGCCACTACTGGTGATGATATTAATGCATCTGACAGTGCAGGTCCAGGTGGAATGGAAACAAGATGACTTAAATTACCATCTTTCCCATTCAGAGTACTYACAAAAGCAGTCAACTTGTCAGTATTGATGGACTAAAAGTGGGAGGAAATCAAATATTGTGATTTAATAAAAATATAGCACATCACAAAGTCTTGATTATTGATGAATAAAACATATACCTCTTCACCAAAGTTAATGATGTCCACATTGACCTTCTCCTTCTTAAGTTTTTTTGCCAGTTTGACAATCTATCAACAACAACAAAACAAACAAAACATAATTAATCTAAAATATATAACACTGTTATTAATAGTTATTACCTCAAAATTAAAAATCCTTTTTATCATATTAYCATGCATGAAATACCTATTATGCATTTTTCCCTTTCAAAAACATGATAATTACTGTACTAGTGAAAATAACCATTATTTTGCCAATAATGATAAACACATAATGGTGGTATATTGAAGGATAATACAAGTTATTTTAAACATTATTTGCTTTCATATAATTTTATAGTATCAGCCTCCTTYACAGKCATCACTAAGAATTATGGGCTTCCTGTGTTTTTTGGGTGTYAGAAGAGGGAGAATGGGGGTGAGAGAGGGGATTCTCATCATTAGTCCCTAGTGGCCAAGATGACTGTTACAAAGTACTGTAAATAAGAGGACATACCACAAGAGACTGACAAATTTCTTTATATCATATATAATATGTAGTCACCTCTTTTTCATCTGATTCAATAGGGCTTCCTACAAACACAATGATTCTCATTTTATGATTCTTGCCTTGCCTGTGCTTGAGAACTAACTGAAAGAAATAAAAACAAGTACATTTGACACATAAGATAAAAAGAGTAATGTATTACTAGACCCTCAAACCATCCAGCCTCCCTCACTGTCCAACCTTATTCAAATGTACCCTTCCCTATTGACTATTCTCAAAATTCCAGTGCAAT